ACAACACAAGAGAATTGGAGAGTGGGTGAGTGAGACAGAGAGAGAGAGAGAGAGAGAGAGAGAGAGAGAGAGAAAGATAGAGAGATCTCCAGCAGTGCCAGCCGAAAGAGGATCAAGGTGGTTTTGGATGAGTTTCAGAGGTAAGCTGCAGTTAAAGCCCCTAGCTTGGACCGTTCACACGCAAATGCCAAGCCCCACCGCACACATCATGAAACACGAGACAACATTCAGGTGTTTGGTGACAGGAGAGAGGACAGCATCCACTGTTTGGGGTTCATTTCCAGAATACAAATGCCATATCATATCCAGGATCCTTCCATTCTGTGGAGGAAATATGCTCATATTGCATTTTGTGTCTTTTCCGTCTAGTTGATACTGACACTAGAAACTTACTCATGTGCATGTTAACAGATGATTTCCATTGCAGAAAGGTTCCATTTAGCTGCCCGTGGTGACAATATGTTCCTATATGATGAACACAATGGTTTAGTCCAAAATTTCATGTTTAACATGAAATTCATCTGAAGACTGGATTTTAAAAACAAACAGTGCAAACATTTGCTAACTCTAGTGCACAATCAACAGCTCATTTGGACTTTTTGATAATTATTCTCTTCACTTTTTAATAGAAGCATTTTCTAAACTGTCATCAGCATTGAAAATGCAGAAAATATAATAAATGTTGGAAGTATAGAGGCATAAAATCCTGGTAAAACTTATTTAAACCAATCTGTTCTGAATAGTTTTTGGTGAAAATTTTTGTTTCAGATTACCCTTAAAGGTCCAGTGTGTAACAGTTAAGATGACTATTGGGGAAACTTATAAAATAATATCCAGAGGTATGTTTTCATTACTGTATACAGGTAATCATCTTAAAATAAGAATTGTGTTTTTGTTACCTTTTTTTTTTAACTTGTGACACTGTGGGTCACAAGTTTGTCTCTTGTGCTTAGAAAGGGAGGGTTAAGTGAGTGAGTTATTGCAACTACACCGCTAAATGCCACTAAATCCCACACCATGGTCCTATAAAGCCGCTATAATCAATATTTGTATGACTAGGAATGTGAAAGTTGTTGCTCATAATAATGAGGCCTGCAACTCTGAAGTTCCCTTCTGATCTTCAGAGCGTTTTACCATCTTTCAGCTCATCGTTTTGGTTCTACGGCCAACGTCTTACTGCTGTTTTTTTTCACTCTCACTGCTCTCAACAGCCTCGTTTCTAGCAGCAGCAGGAGGATATTTTCAGTGGAAAAGCTCTGATCATTCAACAGTACACTACCTGCTCAGCACCAAACAGCAGGCAGACAAGTAGCTGGTGACCATAGTGGAGCATTTAGCAGCTAATGAACCCTATATTTCTCTCAGGGAATGGTGAAGACCTAAACAGGGGCTAATGGATAGTTAATATTGGACTACATTCATCAAGTGAACAGAAACACAATTCAAAATGAATGCTACTGATCTTCTGTGTCTGCTGGATGTGTGAATAGGCAGCTGTGTGCTAAAATGGTCACGATCAACTTCACACGATCAATATTTACAGTTTGTTGTACTGCCTGCAAGAGGCTAAAAGAAATCCATTCATTTAGGTTTCGGTATACAATACCTGTCAAACTGTCTTAATAAGACATCTGAATTTCAATCATTTTAGCAGCTTGCATTTTTATCATTTGACTATGATTATGATACATTATGGGATAACGTATCATATTATGGGATGCTATAAGTAAAATCTAGCAGTGTAACATCAGTTAAACTAAATGCTTTCTCTGACAATTCCCTGCATCTACAGTGTTGCTCTATCAGTACACGCTAATAGTTTTAGTTGTGATGATGACATATACAACCTTATGTATTGTTTTTTTCATGTCCTCGTGACTTCAGATCCATTAAAACACTGGATATTTGAATCTTCTGGTCTTTTAAGCTAAACGTTTAACATGGCGATAGCCTCCTAATCACTGCCAGCCTCCAATCAGGCCATTTGACCCGTCTCCTCTCTGTTTCTCGCCCTTCGGTCATTACAGGAAATGAAAGTGAACAATCCAACTAGCTTCTCTCACTCTCACTTTCTTTCGCTCTGTTCAAGCCCTCTATCTGGCACCGGGTTCCAGTGTTTATGCATTTACTGAGATTGCTGGCGGGATTGTCAGAGAAAAAGGAGGGTTTATATTTTTTTTCTTTTCTCTCTTTTTTTTTCCTGTGCAATCTCTTGCCTTCAGAAACCATTAATGCCCATTCAACATCAACATCAAGGCACAGCTTTGATGTCTATTCTGGCAACAGACCTCTTTCTTTCTCTGCTGCCTGCTGCTCTCTCTCTGTCTCTCTTCTTCTCTCTATCCCCCTTTATCCCTTCCTCTTCCCTTCGCTCACTCTTTACGGTTACTGTACAATCAAATAATTAAACGGATTGTCGACAAAATGATTTTACCTGGCAATTAAATATGCAAAGCGAGTCGGCAAGCGGTGTATGAGAAGGCGATTAAAAAGGGGCCCACTGCAAATCTACAAAGGCTTCACCAGCACAATAGGCAGCAGCCCCTGCCTGCCTCGCACACTAGCTTAGCCTGGGGAGTGACTGGTGCCTCTTTATACCAGTCTCACACAGCCATGTTTACAATAGCCTCAACCATGCTATGCCAATTACCACAATGCAAGGAGAAATGAATGCCAGTGTTTGGAGAAAAGACGGGGATGAAGGTAGCAGCGTTTGAGACATATGGGGTGTACAGGGTGGCGGGGAAAGAAAAGCGTATGCTGCCAATGAAATCAAAGTTACACCACAGAATTGTTCCCCATTGATGAAAGGATGCTGTGAAACAATCGTCTGCTTCAAATTCAAATTTAAGTTTAGGGAGCGAAAAGTCAAGTTTCCGTGAAGGCAGGAACTTCAGAACCGGTGTATAACCTGCGCTGCACCTCAACAAAGCACCTATTAGGACTGGAATGCCACAGAAAGGCTGAGAGAAGATAGCGGGGGGGGCAAGCTCCTGATGTGCAAGAGAGGGACTGCGACAGTCAATGTCCATCTATCAACGCTTCAGTGGGGAAAAATGCAAGCAATTTTCCTGGATAAGTTTCCCTTCAAAGCCGGAGCCCCAAGAGGCTGTAAAAATAGAGTTGGGGAGAGGCGAGGAGGGTGGGGGTAGAAGGGTGGAGGGTTACACCTGCCCCGTTCCGGACAGTTCAACAGAAACTAGCTGGTTCAGCCTGATTAAACCCTCCTCATTGTAAAGTTAAAACCATGGAGGGATTGATTTTAAGGTTTGGGGAGTATGTAATGCATTGATTATGTGTTGAAGTTTCCCCGCACTGTGCCTTTGATGAAAAGGGTCTGGAAAATTAATCTGCTATTTGCGGTGTTATTGCGGTAAAATATAAACTGTTCAGGGACGGCTGCAGTAAAAATATATTTTAAGGCAAAAAGGAGTGTATAAGAAAGAGAAAACCTACAGTATCTCATAGATGTGACAAGCATTCTCAGCTTGTCTGTTTTTCTTTCTTTTCTTTGCCATATTGCCAGGAACAGCTACCAGGGGAGAAAGAAATGAGAAAATCATTTTGTGGGAAGTGAAAGCTTGTCAGTAATGACTGTTGTTATCTTTGTTACGTGGCTACCTCTGCTTTTTTCCAATTGCAAGTCTCTCTTTATGTCAACAATTTGTATTGAGCTGTACAAGTGAGTGAGCCTGCATGCAGCAGACAGCCCGAGCTCCCCACCATTGAATTATTTCCTTGTATTAAATGATTTCTTCCCCCCACTGCTGAAATAAAGCCAGATAATTGAGGCAAACATGGCTTGGCCCTACGATAGGGGATGCAGGGTGCTTCATTAATGTTTGTGTTGACTGTCAGAGAGTAGCGCTGGTCCTCATTGCTCTTTAATAAGACCAATTAGCCCATGCCCCCATTTCCATGCTTAATGCCTCCCATTTAAGTGCTGAATACAGAACGCGCACATTTAACCACTGAGGGGCTGTAATGCATCAAAAGGTTACAGGCTTTTAGTGATTCCTGTTTACACTGTCAATTAACAGCTTGCATTCATGAATTTAAACTTCTTCTTTTTTCCAGTGGCGAGATGTGTTTTACAGGTTTTCATTCAAGCTGTTTGTCAAAGTACTGGTAATAATGGCCGTATGACGTGACTACAACAATGAATTTTGTTGATCATTTGGTTAGATAAGGGGTCAGCACTCCACCTTCACTCCGCACTGTGCCGTGATCACAGCACTGCGCTACTGCTCCTCTTTAATGGGGACGGCTGTAAGTTTTCATGTTCTTCCTTACTGATAGAGACATGAAGGTTATACAGAAGGCAGGTAACTGTCAAGAATAATTATTGGGAGTATTTAACAACAGGTTCCACAGACATGTCCGACATAGCCGATTCTGTCATTTTCAGTATGCGTCATTTCACTATAGCACAGTATGGAGTGTAATTTCCACTTCTCATTTAGTTAATGTGCTACATTTCTAATTGAGCAACTGATACTGATGCCTTTTAGTGGGTTTTAACAGCATTACATTGGCTTACATGGCTTTTACAGTATGCTTTAGAATTATAATATTATCAGGACCTAGTTTTTTGTTTTTTTGCCCAGTGTGAGGGTGTACAACATGCGACGAAGGTCTCTGCTCAGAATCATACCGGTTAATATGTTACGTGTCATAAACCACTCGGCTGATTGGACACCCTGACACTACTGAGGTTTGGTGTAAAACACTTGATTGGTTAAATAATAATCTAGATTTTCGCTTTTCTAGATTTACATGACTACAAGGATCTCCTGTATCTAACGCATACATATTTATCTAGTCCACTCTTGTCACGTCTAAATAACTGACATAATAGAAATGAACTCTTACTAATGTTGGGAAGTGTGCTGTGCAGTAAGAACTAGCCATGATATGGTAAGATATTAAGATGGCATTCAGAGGTGCTATAACATGTTATTCTGTACAATCATGAAAGAAGCAATTCCAGGCACAACAACTTTCATTTGAAAAATATAAAACTTTAATAAAGGCTACATCTCTCAATAATTACAATAATTATAGGTCCATGTAAATCTTTAAATGAAACTCTTTATATAATGTATAATTTACAGTTTAGATAGAATGAAACAAAACAAAACAAAATGCTGTGGTGTAAAAAAAAAAAAAAAAAAAACATGATTACAGGATATTATTAAAAGCATAAAAATATCTTTTCAACATAAAACCCTTCTGAAAACCAAGGGATATATATTAAAACCCTGAAACAGGGTAGCACATGGTATGGCATCCATGTAGGCACAGGTGCTGTACTCATAAAACACCAGCGATAGTGTGTGTGTACTGTTTGTGTGTGTGTACTGTTTGTGTGTGTGTGTGTACTCTACGTGTGCATCACATGTGTCAGTATCCATACTTCAGAATGCATAATTACAATGTATACAGGAGCTCTGCTATATACGATGTTACTGTAACAACATTCAAAGGATATCGGAGCCATAATTCTTCAATGTTCACTTTTTTTTTCTCTCTTTTTTGTGTTTTTTGACACGCTAGCTGACTTCCTCAAGAAGTCGTTCTCAGTGACCCAAACTGGTTCTTGTTAGCGCAAGTTATTTTGGTGTGCGGGCTGTAAACACTGCCATTATTAGATGGTACAACTTGTGCTCCAGGTCTCCTCTCTGTGTGTATCTGCAACTGTTTCCATTCCCCCCTGTGCAATGCCTGGTTTACAAACAAAGGCACAACAAAAAAGATTGAGCTCTGTCCCCGGACTGAGAGAAATAGAGAGGGAGGGGGAGAACGAACGAGGGAGTGTAAATACTAGTGTGACAAACTTAACATTACAAACTATCAGCAGCATATAAGACTGGGATTGACCATTAGAATAGTGGAGGGAGTGCGCCTCGGAAAAGACCACTGCTAAGGTTGTTAGTTTGGGTCAGACGGGGCTACAAGGCTATGGGAGGTGCTAGGCTAGTGTCACGTCCTTTGTGTAAAGTAAAAACAAACATAAACAAACACTAAACAATATCACCAAAGTTTTCTCCCAACATTCAAAGCAGCTTGCCCATTGGCTGGAAATAGGGAGGGGGAGGGGACACAGGTTTAAGAAGACTTAGAAGGGACAACAGGGAAAAGAGTGGGTTGTTTTTTTTTCAATAAATACTTAATAAAAACTTTCAACTCATGACAAAAAGCATCTATATATATAATACATGTATATATACATATATGCACGTATGTATATGCACATGTACAGACGTTTTTGTAACGATGTTGGAGTGTAACATTAAGAGCAGGTTGGTGGCACTGTATTCAGCGCCCGCTAGTCCATTGCACTCGGCCGGGGAAGCCGGCGTGAACGCACCATCAGTCTCTCATTACATCACAACAAAACAGTCATCTACATCTTCAGTGGTTATATTCAAGAAGAGGCGGGGTCTCCCCCCCACTGGCCTCCAATCATCATCATCAATATCATCCTTGTATTGGTCTTTTAAAGTCTCTCGTGTCATTCCCTTGTGTTTCTAAGGCTGATTGGTTGATAAAGTCAGGGAGGGGCGGCACCTCCTCTGGGTTCGGCATACTTCATTGGCTCGTCTTCCTTCAATCACTCCTCTTGTGCTGGATATATTAACTCTGTTTAGCTTAATATTAAGAAATAGAAAAAAAAAAATCAAAACAAAAAAGGAGTCCAGAGTGTTTGTTAATTACAAAGAGTCTCTCGCTCAAGTTTTTTTAGGGACAGTTTAGCTTTTGGTTGGGCGGGGAAGGGCATCGGTTGGTTGGCAACAAAGTGGCTTTTAGTCCATCCTCTCCACCTTGCCCAGGACCTTGCCCTCGTACATGGGCAACACGGTGGCATCCTCCCACACCTCCTCGAACACGGCACCACACTCAAACTCATCACTGGCTTTCTTGAAGTAGTACCTGAGGAGGAAAAACAAAAAGAGAGGTCCGTGATTAGAGAACGTTGAGCGTAGGTGTACGTGGAAAAAAACATAAAAAATTGAACTCAACAAAAACTGACAGAGTGGCAGCAGGAGTGCATCTGATACATTTCATCGTGTTTTAAAGCGCTTTGAGGCACCTACACGACTACTTCCATATACAGGCTCGCGCACAACTCCCTTTAGTCCAAATCAAACACAAACACACACACTCTGAGAGCCAGAAATGGATCCTGCTCAAAACAACTTAGTCATAGCCTTCAATGCCATCCCTGCACACTTCAAAGGCAGAGCCTGACTCCACATCACACCGCTGCACAAACAGAGTTGAACCCTCCGTTTAAACACTCCCTGTGATAATTCAAGCTGCTAGAAACAGCCTGTTTGTGTGTGTGCTCATCCATGTGTGCTTGTCTCCTCATCCACTTGTTCATCTTGACTGCTGGCCATTCTACAGATGCCTATCTGTCCTGCAAGGTCTTATTAAAGTTGAAGGGTTAATTAGAGGCTGTCTTAAGGCCCCCCCCCAGCAGTGCCCCCTCCCTTTCAGTGTCTCCATGGCTTCTAATTGGGCTGGCTGTCAAATGAAGGGCCTTTCTGTCACACAGGTTGACATTTCAGGTGCCTGAGAGTCTGCCTGTGACTGCAAAAGCACATTCGGTTGCTTGCACATAAACATGCACAAGCCCTATGTTTCTCTCTTACACAGCGCTCGCTATCACACACACACACACACACACACACACACACACACACACACACACACACACACACACACACACACTCACTCTTCGGGCAGCTTTCCGATCACCAGCAGAGAACAGAGGGGAAAAGAGAGAGCAGGAAGGGAAGAAAGCGGGGGGAAGCGGAGCACAGGCCTTCCCTGGCTCGGTGAGTGGGTGTGATAGATTGGATGTGGGCCGAGCCTGAGGGGCTTTACCCTGGGAGGGGGGAGGGTGGCGACCGCTCAGACGGTCTCCTGGAGGTCACAGGTCACCTAGCTAGCCCACTCTTCTTCTTCTCTCAAGCAGAGATAACTCCCGGGGTTAGCTTGGTCCCAGTGACTGTGAAGTCTCCTGGAGCTCCTAATGATTTCTCCTCTCTACTTTAAACCCAGCAAAAGATCAGCAGGAGGGGATTTAATGATAAGCTTTGTAATGGAAAAATGCCTCATTTTGCCCATGTGTGTCTGCGTTCAGGATACAAAAAAAAGCTCTGTGTTTTATGAGCAATCGCTCAGCTTAGAGTCATCCAAACATCACATGTAAGGAGGGGCGTACAAAAACGTACATATAGTTATATTTTCCTTGTTGATTGTAATAACACAAATGAAGGAGGAGGAGGCTGCGTTACCACAGCTGCAAGACTTTCTACTCGAATGTGCAGCATTGTGACAGAGGGGTGATGGCTTTATTTAATCATAAGGCATTTCAGCAAAGTTTTTCTCCGTTGTCAAAGCTTTGCTGCCCAGGATTTTGCCTTTTCATCTTCATTAGTAGAAACCAAATAAATGCATTGCCCTTCTAAATATAATTGGCAGATTTGTTTTCAGGAGAAAATGCTACATTTTCTCTCACAAATAGTTCAAAGTCATCACTTTGTTTCAGAGAGTGAGACTGAGAGAGACAGAAGGAGTCTTTCCATTGGAACATGTTTTATGTGGCAGGATTTTTCTCTCTTCGCAACATCTGGCACCAATATCGTCTGGCAGAGCCGCGGCGTACTGTTCTCCACTGTACCGCTGCCATGTCCAAATTAACCAACTCCACACATTCTGCTGCCATTGAAGCCAGACGCTTCATCCCCACCTCCCCCTCCTCTTTCGCTCGCTGAAGAGTTACGGGATAGCAGGGGTGCAATGACTTGTTTGCAGGCCTTCTTCTCTCTTGCCTAACAAGCAGATGTGGCTGTAAACTAATGTTGATGTCATGGCCATGCATGCTTTGTGTCTTTTCAGTGGCATACAACTTACGCAGTACTTGAACAGTTGCTTGAGCAAGTCTGGACTTCCTGATTTAAATGTCTTCAAACTGACTGGCCATTATATTTTAATTTTAATTTTTTAACTTTCATTGTTTAGGAACCCCCCCCATCATCTGACATCGACAGGAGGTATTTTTGCTGTGTTAACTGCTATCACTCATTAATAGGAGAAGGTGCTTGCGGCATTTGATTTTAATGCCTGATGCAATAGTGTGGAGGAGGAATTTGGGGGCCTTGCAATGGTCTTTGTGCGCAAAATAAAATGTCCCAGGCTTCAAAGCCATATTTATTAAGGCTGCCTTACCATGGAAATCAGTACCAGATGTGAGAAAAAAATTCACTCCAGAACCCCCTCCTCTACCCTCCCTCTGTAAGCCCTGAATACAGTGGGATCAGCCCATTTTTATTTCAACTATTGCACTCCAGTAATTCACACTCCCACTCAGCAGACGAGCATAAACAAGTACAATAACAAATGCACATACATACACAGATAAATAACCCTGCTACAGCATCAAGCCCATCCGAACAGGTGTGAATAAAACATCTATCCGTATACGTGCTAGTGTACTGTGATCTGTGTTAGTGGTTCATATTTACCGGTAGTTGCCTTTCTTGCTAAGCTGTTCCTTGAAGTGTCCCAGGGTGAGGCAGTGGGTCTTCATCATGCTGCGATAAGGGATCTCCTCACCACAGAAGAAGTAGGTGACCACTAGCTCCTTCGACCTGCAAATGCAAAATGAAAACTTGTTTTAAACGGCTGCACTTGTAGGAGAATGGGTCAGATTGTTGAATGTAGACAAAGAGTCTTTGGAGTATTGTTAATTAAGGATGCCAACAGACAGCTGGCCCGCCGAGGGTCAACCAATTAAAACTAAAAGAGGCCTCACAGTCAGGTGGCTGTAGCTTAACATCAAACACCACAACCCATTCAACAACAAATGTATGAAGGGGGCTGATTTGAGTTACCAGGGGCTACTTAAAACATCTTTGTTGGGTTCCAGTGGTGAATGTGTGTGTTGGGAGACGGGTGGGTAGTTAGGATTCCGTATTAAAGCATGTTTAATCTTAAATGATTAAAAAGCGAGAGAAGAGGAGTTCAAAGACATAGCTATGCTGACTCACAACATCTCTCTTTGAAGGCGAGAGCGAGAAAATCTGTGAGGAAGAGGGCGAAAACACAAGCTTGGAAAGAGAGGGAACGCTCAAATAAAGCGTCTATGTGTATGAGAAATGAAGCAGAAAGCTAGAAAGCAATTGAGAAACAAATTAAGAAAACTGAGCTAGAGAAACAAAGACAGGAATTTGTTACAGATTCAAAAGGAGAACAGTCAAATAAGTGTCCCGTACTCGTCTGTTTGGAGTCCGGGGCTGGCTAGAGGACTGCCTCCAGTGGGGAAGGTAGCTGCTGGATGGCTCCTGTCTCTCTGAAGGCTGCTGGCTGCTGTTGATTGCCTGTCAAAATCACAGAGATCAATGACTAATTAATACTCATGTCAATAAAACATGTAATCTGATGTGGGCAATCAAATGTCAAAGATGGGGAATATGTATGATTGGCAGTTTTTGTTCAATATGTTACGCTGAAAGTGTGCCCTGAATATGTCTGAGTTTGCCTACCTCTGTTTTGGCGGCTTGGAGACCTCTTCTAGTCTGCGGCAGGCCTCCTCCAGCTGTGCCAGGGTGTTAGGCGGGGGCAAGGGTGGCATGGCCGGGTCCTGGATGAATGGATGGCCTGGGTGGTGGCCACGGAGGTGAGCCCCACTGCCAATGCCACCACCACCCCAAGAGGAGTGAGTCCGACTGGACAGAGTCTTGGAGTCGAGCGGGTTGGACTTCTTTAGGCCTTGAGTGCTGTTAGGACAAAAAGGGTCAATATATAACACGAGCCGGGAACTCAAGCCACTAGTGTTCTCTGGTACAGATGATGATGAGACGGCTCCTGACGGACACTTACCTGTTTGGCTTGTGCTTGCCCTGCCTCTCACTCTCTAGGATCCACTGCCAAACATTCTGAGAGCGGTCGGTGGCATCTAGGGGAAGGCGCGGTGAAGACACGCCCTCATCGGTGGCCTTGACTGGCCGTCTGGACAAAGTGCTGCAGCGACTGGAGGAAGAAACAGAGGCAAGTTGAGACCAGAGTATGAGCAGCTTTATCACTGTAGGGCCAATGTACAATGCTGACTGACAACCGGTTTGAGTGCAGGTCAGATGTTACACTCACGCAGGGGTGAAGTCGGAATAATTGGCGCCCCCTGGAGGGCAGAGGCACTGCACACGCTGAGCCGCCTCGGCCTCGATCTGCTCCTTGGTCTTGGGCCCAGCGTGGTGATGGTGGATGTAGTGGTGGTGGATGTGCTTTGTGGATGGCCTGCCTGTCATCAGAACCTTAGCGGCCCCAGGATAAGCACCAAAGAAGGGCCCGTGGCCAGAGGACACCACTGCACCCGTCCGATCCGGGGAGCTAGAGCGCGGTGAGTGCCGAACCACACCTGGTGACTGGCAGCCAGGTGTCTTCAGGACACGGGATAGGTGCTCGTCCAGGATAGCCTGGGGGTCTTCCTCGCATTGGCTGCCAGACGGGAGCAAAGGGTGAGTCAAGGAGGTGCTGCTGGCAGGGTCGCCGCTCTCCTCCCGTTCCTCCTCCTGGACAGGGAAAGAAAAAAATTAAAGAGTTATGGCAATTGACAATGCATTCATACACAGTCACATGTGGGTAAGGCAGCAAACAGAGGAATTTATGTCTCAACTTACACCAACTTATATCTATCGTCCTCTGAAGTCAGTGAGAGCAAACGCCTGGATAACTTGATTTGAGTTTCCTTTTTGCCGCACTGTTATCTTCACTAACAGGCTTTGGGTGCACTTCATCTATAATGCAGAGTGTGCCTGTGCTTCACAAAGAGACTGGCACTACACATACTCAGCAAACGTGCCACTGGAGAGTAGCTAAGTGCTAACTATTTGAAGAAACTTCAAGTGTGCCTAGAAACATAAGTTTGAAAGTTCCTCCAGATGAAGTAGTGTAGGACAGAGAGGAAAAGGGAAGCAGTAGCTAAACCAAGACAGACTTTCAAATCCCTTGGTCTTTTCCCTGTTCTTCGACATGTTAAAGCTGGCATAAAGGCTTTTGTAGTGCAATATGGAAATCGTCCTGAGTTAACTTGGATGCAAGTTAGAATTTCCGAGTGACAGCCATGCTTAATGTTGGAAGTGTTGGAACAGGTTTATGTGCATCCATACCTCCTGAATCTGCTGGAGCCTCTCCTCCAAAGAGCTCATAGTGTCCTGCTCTCGCTTCAGCTTCTCCAGCCGGGCTATGAGCTGGGCAGCAAAGGCTGAGGGCTCAACGGGGGTCATCTCCTTAGGCAGCCGGTGTGTCCTCTGCAGGATAAACAACACAGGCGGAAGGACACTTTAGTGTGTGTGCGAGTGTAACTGCGTAGTGTTTCTGACGGATGCAATATGTTGCATTAATCCACTGCCCTTGCCCTAATCCTATCTTGTTCCAAAAAGCCTGCTACTATTCCAAAAGGCCTAATCCAGATGCCCTTGCCCTCGAGCTAACCTGAACCTTCTCCGCCACCCATCCCTCCCCAGATCTTCTCATGCCCAGTGCCCTTGGCAGTGCCAGGCTGCTGGGCGAGGGGGAGAGAAGGGGGTAGTGATGGCGGGGTAGCAGTTGGTCTCGCTCGGAGGGGAGGCCCCCTGCCTGCACCCTCTGTAGCCCGACCAAGCCATCAGCTAGGCAGCCTCTGAAGTCAGCACACTTCAAAGGGCCCTTGTCAAACATCAAACGCACACTAGGGGTGGGAGGGACACGCAGCTTTAAATCTCCGAATAAAAGCCAGATATCGACAGAGAAGAGAGAGTGAGGAGAGGAGAGGGGAAGAAAAAAGGGAGAGGGGGACAAAATTAACAGCATGAAAAAAGAGGAAGAGGATTGAGATGTGCGTTAGTGAAGTGGCAATGGTGGCAGAGAGAGAGAGAGACAGAGAAGGAGGGGAAAGAGGGAGGGAGAGGATAGAGGAGTCAAATACTGGGAAGATCTGAGGGGAAGTAGTAATTTATTTCCCGGCTGCATGCAGGGCAGCTCAGAGGTACTCTAGTCACATTATCCTCCCTTTTCTTTAACTATATGCGCCGGCTTCTCTCTCTCCCTTTCTTACTTTTTTGTTATTTGGCACACTGGCTTTCTTGATTTTGACTCTTTTTTTGTTGTTCCTCTCATCTCTTTGTAGACACGATGAAGGGAAGAAGAAGAAAGGCAAGCAGAGCTGCTGGCAAAGGAGCGCCAGCCCTGCACGGGGCCCCCGCTGCCTGGGGCTGGTGCATCATGGGAGACAGAGCCATCTCCAAATCAGGAGGGAGACATTAAAGGAGTGCAAGTGGGAAAGGAAAAGAGAGAGAGAGATTGAGAGAGAGAGAGAGAGAGAAGAGACAGAGAGGAAGAGAGAAAAAAGGGGGAGCAGGCAACACTATCAAATGCATGCACAAACACACATACACATACATACCTGTGTTTGGATATGAAGACAAAAGAATTTCACATTTCTTTTCTTGTCTCAAACAAATCCACCTCCTAACCTGTGTCAATCTGCTCTAGCCCCACCTCCCTAAACCTTCCCACAACAACTTCAGCAGGTCAACAGAATCTTGAATTCAAAGCTCATACACTGTATGACCCAAATACTAATGGGACCAGATATCAGTAGCTATGAGTAGAGGAAAGTGGAATTGAATGTGCCTCCTACTCATCTGCAGGGATGTAGTTTTGGTATTTATCCAGTTCAAAGAATAATCTTCATGTTGAATTGAATCATTACTATCAACACTGTTGTGATGTCTATTACCGATGCTATAGCCACAGCTGTCATCAATGCATAAAACATATAAAGCTAGGACACTCTGTGACATACTACAGTTACTGAGACAGAATACAAAAGGCACAAGTTTATATTTACAGCGCTACAGAAGCTGCTGGGATGGGGGAAGAAGGGGTGGGGTGGGCTTGAAACAGCAGAAGAAGTTGTGAAGTGGTATGCAAATCCTGCCTTTCATTTACCCCGACTTTTATATGAAAACGAGCAGGGGAATGAAATAGAGTATTCTGACACAACATGAGCTCTGAAAAAAAAAAAAAAAAATAAAGCACAACTCCTCGAGGGAATTAGGGCCCAGTTGTCTGTCAGTGTGTAAAAGTTTGAGTTCAGCAGATTACAAAAAAAAACAGGGAAGCACTGAGACAGGAAGTAGAACTTAAGGAAGTAGGACTTACAGGAAAGTGGGGTAGCGTTATCTGGCCATTGATCTTGACACTGCGATGCATCTCTCGCTGGAGCTGCTTCTTTGTGCCCAGTTTGTATGGAGGGATTCCATCTCTGCAAAGAACAAAGATATTACACGTTTACATTTTGGTTCCTTTTTTGAAGTTGATTTGGTCTGTTTGGTCTGTGTAACCAGCTTTGATCATTTACTGCCACTCATCATGCAGGTCACAATACCTCCACACCAACTGTTGGTGCATTAGCGCCATTAGCCAATCTTTGTGGAGAAAGAGCCCTTAGGAGGCAGTTCATCATTGAAGTGACCGACACAACGCCACCCAGTAACCACCCACTAGGCACATTACAGCTAAATCAAAAGGCCGGGGAGCCCTTGAAGCCAAGGCAACAAAAACACACATAACAAAACACACCAGGACAATGGGAGAGATATGCTAAACATCCCACTGTGGGCTTCAAAAGAAGAGCCCCACTGATAAGATTACATCAGTCCTTGTCAACTCTGACAGTGGTTGTTTAAAAAGCAGTAGAATAAGCGCTAACCTCAGTGGCTGGTTAGAGTCGGAAACTACAACACGCTAGCAAATGCTGCTCAAGTGCTCCTGGCTTTGTAGCTCTGATATATTAATATGAAAATAGAGATGTGGCTAGGAATACTAGTAGTCTCTGGACAATTAAGCATTTATTCTGGGAATCTTATTCTCCATTTTTCATTCTGTGTCTGCTAGCTTTTCCAGTCAGCTGCCACTTAAGCTGGGCCAATTATCTTGGCCGTTTTGGCTGCTCAGAAGTGTCTGACCTAGCCCAAACGCTACTTTTTCTGCTGCCTCTTTGAAATCTCACACTCATGCACATATGCACCCGCTGCCATCTTCGTTTGGCAAGCGCTGTGCTGTGAGCCTCTGATCTCAGCAACATCAAAAGGCTGGTTTGTAAGATAAGGTAATGTTTGAAGTTGGTGCAGCAGCATTCCCCAGCGTCCAAGTAAATCCATAAATAAGATATAAGCAAAAAGAGAAAAAAAATCCCCCCACCCCTTCTTCCACCCCCCCTTCCCAAATCCTCCTCTTCTTGTTCTTTATCTGGGAAATGAGATTCAAATTTGCAGTGTGCCTTTTAACCACTGTAAAAGGACACACTAATCAAATTGTTCCCCGAATGAGAGAGGAAGAAGCTGCGTTTTTTATTAAAATCAGTTAGAGGTGGCGAGAGAGCTGGGGACAAGGACAGCCGAGATCTCTGTGTCAAAGACCTTGGTGAGAACTATTAAAAGAATATGACTTTGACACATGATGCTGTTCAACAAAGACTCCATCTTCTTTATTCATCTAAACAAGTTCGGCAAGTGACATTTCAGAGTGACATTGTCAAGAAGAACAGATAATGGAGCCAAGCTGCCGATATCACCCGTGTTGCAGTAAGCTTCTTGTAAGCGGGGCCTACTACCAAAATCAATGCTTCACAAACTGTACCCTTGAGACTACAACCCATCATCCCTCAAGGCGCAGGAAGAAACACAGGAAACTCTTCAAAAGTAAAACTCAACAGCCCAGAGGAACTTGTGCGCTAACAAGCACCCAAAAGTTGCGCGGCAAAACATTATTCCCACACAAAGCTCGCCAACTTCCCAATCACTAACAATGTTTTTATCAATCCAAACTGTCCCCACCCTGGTGAACCATGTGATGGCTGGGTGCTTTGTCCAGGTTGGGGAAGAGAAAACAGCCTTGGACTCTTTCATGGTTTCATGGGCCCTTACTTTATGGGGATCTCCTATTCAGTTGTGCAAGTCATTTTCAAAGCAGCCAGCCACCCTCTTATCCCCCTAAGCTCCCCTCACCTAACAATAGGCTGAAAGCGATTCAGTTAAGCCCTTTATACTCCATGCACTTTATTTTCTCACTCCCTTGCACTTCGAGCCTAACCACTCCTGCTATTGGCTCTGGAGGGTGGAGGAAAGAAGCTATGGAGGGTTCGGGTGGGTGGAGGTGATTTTTTTTGGGGGTGCCCTAGTCTGGCCAGGGGGAGTTCCTCATGCCTCGTCCCAAGGTCTAGAAATGAGTAACCCCTGTGAAAGCCTCACAGACACATGATCTCAGCACGCCGCAGAGGCCAGTGGCAGGAAACCGACCCACCATGTGAGTAAGCCTCCTTTCATTTGGTGCCAACATTTTTCAATGAGTTTGTCTTGAGGCCCGAATGGCCATTTCCCTCCCCCTCTCCTCCAGCTCTTCAAAGGGAAAAAGCGATTAGATAATATGAAAAAAACAAGTCTGTTGTGGCAGAAGGGTGGGTGGGATGGATACATTTCAACTTTGAGGAAAATGAGGCAACGCCCCCACCCACATCAAGACGTTCTCATTTTTTTCTCCCTTCTCTCCAGCCTGTAACGCATCAGAATAAACTTCAAAAGGTCTTCAGACATAATGACTTTCCCAGAGTTATCTCCCCGGAGGCCACAGTAACAACTACACATTAATAGAGTTACCTGCAGTCAATCATAGACGATAATTAAAATACATTACAGACCATTATTTTGCAACAGTGCAGCCTGGCCCCAAGAAAAGCTGAGTCTGTTGAACGACAATGCCAAATATTTTTCTTCTCACCCCTAGACTTTTCCCTGGAAAGGTGTTGACTGAACTCTGGTCCAGGCACGTTTAGATACTATGGAAATAATAAAATTCACAGAGCTTTGGCCAGGATCAGCTGAATGGAAATGAGCCTTTTGAAGTTGCTACATTACCTCCAAAGCAAGGTGGACTGGAATGAAACTGACCTGCCAACTTTTTGATTTCAATAAGAACTAAAAACACTTACACGCTACTGTCTGTCATGGACATGGAATCATCTGTCGTGGCATCACTGGAGATCTCGCTGTCATTGGCACTGGTGGCAGGGGCAAAAATGTAGCCAGAGTTGACAAAGTAGGGACTGGCAGGGTCTCCTCGACGGTGGGACCTGCAAAACACCCAGGGAAACAGCCAAGTTTTAATGTGATATCTCTCTCAGTTGTGCTGTAAAGTGAAGACAGTGGAGAATAAAGTTTATTTTCTCCATGTTTCCGTTTGTTGTTCATTTGATCAGATTTTAAAATCAAACGTGACAGCTTGGAGTTTGTTTTGTTAACGTTCTGTGTCATTAGAGTCACTATCATGAGACTTTGGGGCCTGAGGAATGTGACAACAGTATTAGAAATGGAGGTATGGGTTCTCTTTTTCTTTCACTCTCTTTCATGTCCCTCCTCCCTAACGTACAGGGGTTGTGTGTTTGGGGGGTGATGGTTGCAGTGGGTGAAGTGAGCAGCCTTGCTGTGTGTGAATGAACAACAGCATTTCCCTTCGTTTTCTCTCCTTTGCTATATCTCCACCCTTTTGTTTGGCCCAGGCCCACACTCCTGCACTTTTCCACTCTGAAACTCCACTCTCTCTTTCCTTCAAGTGTTTTCTCCTCCATGCTCTCCCACTTCTATCTCTCCCTCTCTCTATCATCCAGTCTGGGGCCCCTCCTTTACCCACTCTCCCCTGCTTTCCTTTCTAAAGTCTCCCTCTCTGTCTTTCTACTCTCTCCTGCTGTGTTGCATTCCTGTTTCAGTAGTGAAGGGGGTGGACAAGGAAGAGGGAGGGAAGAAGAGGAAGGGGGAACTTGAGCTTTAGAGAGGGAGGGAGAGAGGGAAAGGGGGAAGGAGGGCCCCTTTCTTTATGAGAATGCCTTCTGCCGGGAGTGCTGAGAGGAGAACCCCAGCATGACTAAAGCCGTAGGCCCCAAGCACAAACCTGACCTTTGGAAGGTCCGCGCAAAGAGTCAGGTATTTAGCACAGCTGGGCTCTCTGCCCCCCCTCCTTTCTCCATCTCTTTTCTTTCTTTCATGATCCCCCCCTTCCTGTCTTTCCCCCTTCCCCTCCTCTTGTCTCTCCCTGTCTCCCTCCAAAGCATGCTTAGTCCCTGTCAGACAGATTTTTTTTTTTCAAAAAGGAGAGATAAAAGTGCTGGATAGAAAAGAAAGAGGAAGGAAAACACTGAGACACACACACACAATCTATGGCAAAGTGGGATCAGTGGTTGAGGCTGCGGAACTGAGCTGAGGATGTTTTGTTGTTGTGTTTTTCTATCACTTTGGAGTTGAGCATTGGAGGTTTCTCAAAAAGAGGGGAAAAAAGGAATCTGTGCAGTGGCAAAATTAGTTCCACATGTTTGAGATGGAAATTGGTTGACCTAAAGAGATGGTGAGGGGCAGGGGGAAAGGGGGAGAGAGCGGGTGACGGAAGGAAGAAAGAGAGGGCTCTCTCCCTCCCACTTTTCTTTTAGAAGAAAAACAAGAATGCAGGGGATCACACCAGGAAACCAGGAGATGCCCACATGTCAACAAACTCTGTGCTTATTGGTTCCTGATGCAACACGGCCAACTGTGCTATGATGTTATCTGACATCTGCTCACATGAAGGATAGAATCCTCAAGGGAGTGTTTAAGTTGAGTTATTAGACTTAATCAATTAGTCATTACACTGTTAAAAAAAAAAAAATCATGCTGGAGACAGTTTTGAATTTCTAGTTTGTTTAGCTAACTTGACAGGGAAAGTACGGATTATCTATAAATTGCACTTCTCCTACAAAACCAAAGTAAAAAGACACTGTCAAACCTCTAAGTAACAATTGCGTCCAGATGTGAGGACAAAGTAGTTGAAAGTTGAAAAACTTTTGAAGTGCCCTTTGATGCAGGCTCATGCATAAAATCCAGTTTTTGAAAATGTTCCTGGCTTGAAAAGATTTCAGCTGTTGGACAATGTGTGGGACGAGCTCTTAAGATAAAAGCCCAAATGCTTTCCACAAACAGTTTTGCTTTCATCTCTGACCAAGAGAACAATATCTCCGCTTGGCATAAGACTGACTGCACAAGTTCTTTTAACTCTGTATTAGCATTTGGTTGGGTTAGGGAGATTTTGTGACAGTGTACAATCTAACTATAAGGCTTAGTGAGTAGAAAAAAAAGGAAAATCCAGCATAACTTTACAATAGCATCATACTGTTTCATGTCGCTGTAACAGTCATGAGGCTTGGTGTCTGAATCCGTGCCTGAACCAGAGGAAGGGTTTCAAAGCACAGGAAACTTGAGCAAGCCAGCAGAGGGCTGCCTGCAAGACACCATTTACTTAAAAGGAAGGCTCAGATCCATTGATGTTTTGTACCCACCCCGCCCCTCCACCCCTCCAACCCCTTGACTAACTGCAAGGCAGGAGGGCACAAATATACAGGCATGTTCCTCTGAGAGCCTTTGATCAAGTGCCTTTATCTCTCTCTGAGGCATTTGTGAAATAACTGCCACACATTCACATTAGTTTCACTAATGAAGGAATGGTGATCACGAGGAGGGTGAGCAATACTAAAAAAATAATAATAATAATGGACATGCACTCACTAAGATGTACTAAGAGGGGCATGCATGCTCTAGGTGAGCTCTTACCTGCAACTGTTCTCCAGCACTTCAGCTGCTGTCCGGATGGTAGCAGTAGCCCTCAGGGTTTTCGCAGACAGTCCAACCACAGACCCTAATGCTTTTGCCTTCAGGTCATTACAACTCCACTCCTCTTCCTCCATGAGAGGAGGAAGGTATCCGCACATCAGCTTGAGGCTGCCGAGACTGCCGTGGTTCATGTACGCCGCGTTCTCGCAGCCCGTGCGCACATATTCGAGGTATATGTCAGAGGTCAAAAACATCTGGTATGCATTCTCTTCCATGTTGGACTGAATTTCCGTCTGCGCCTGGTCAAACATGGCAGAGTCTATTTGTTGTTTCTTAATACTATCCCTTATGAAGGTCTTGGTGGCGGGTTTCAGCTGCTTGGCGACAATGCTGTTGTTCTCGATGTACCGCTTGAAAATAACTTTGGCAACTCGCAACGTTTTGGTATCCTTTAAGTCCATTTGCCTGAAGCCGTTGCAGGCGAACCAAAAGTCCAAAGTGTCCACGCAATTCTCCCGCTCCAAGAAGGTCCTGAAGAGGTGAGCGCCGTCTTGGTCGCCCAGAAGAAAATGCAGAGACTTTGTCCACCGGACTAGGGGCGAGTCCGGGGACGCGCTGCCCTCTGGCTCCCCGAGACCATCCTCGTTCCTCCGCGGTGTGGAGCCGGGAGGCGCGGCGGCGGCGGGGGTATCTTTAACCTTGCTCTGGGCTCTCATTTTGGCAGATCTGCTGGGGTTGTAGCATGACGCCTCTCCCTCCTCCCCCGGTACCGGAGGACGAGGAGCATCTTCTCGGAAGCTACTGCTGATGTGCTCCGTAAGCGCCCTGCTCATGGCTCCAGCTCCGGTTGCCGTGTGAGAGTGCCGTCGTGCCTCCACTGAGCTCCAGCCTAATCCTCCTCACTCTCTAAAAGCAGCGGGGGAGCTTCTCAGCTCCTCTTCACTCTGAAACACAAAGTATTGATCTGATCAAAGCCAGATCCTGCTGAACTTCAAAGAAAGACATCAAGTAAACAGTCCCTTTCAAAAACCCTCGCCGGGTTCACAGAGAAAGGAAATATGAAAGGCTTTTCTCGTTTCATTTATCTATTTATAATCTAAATGAGAGATCAACTGCAGCCTACATTCTCAACGTGCATTCATCTGTCACATCAAAAACATTTAACAAGAATAATCACCTCGCACCGCCTCACTCTTCACCAAAACCATATTCTCACAACTGTGGCTTACACGTGTTTTCCTAACGAGTCCATGTCACAGGCTTCAACTCCAATTAATTCCCAATCTGTTTCGGACGACCGTACCCTACCCCTGTCTGCATCGCGCACACACACACACACACACACACACACACGTTTCCACTCGGAGCCCACACTTGTCCTCACCATCCCAGAAATGCACAGACGAGTGGGAATGCATCTGATCTGCACCACAATGACCTTAAACGCTGTAATGTACGAGGGGTAAAAAGCCCCGCGGGAAAAGCCAGCCGCTCATGCGTAAATGTAAGCGATCAATCGCCTTAATATCTGCCCAAGAAGGCTATTACAGCACATTATTAAAGCCAAAGCCCGGGCAACGTGTCTGAACTACCAACACGGCACAGAGACTTGACATATTTGGAGTAAAACCTCAGTCAGAAGCTGATTGCGATTTTAATCGGAGCCTCAGCGCCAAATCTAAAAGAGACAAGCAGCTAAAAACGGCATAAACCGGCAGCTACAAACGCTACATGATCATTCACACAGTCTCAACAGGCAGTGTAACACGACATCATAAAGTAACCGACTCTAAAATCCGACGGATGAGGGCTGAATAAACGTGCGTAAAAAAACACACACAACATACCATCGCAGAGCAGATCCAAACCAGAGTAAAAACCCGTGAAAAAGTTGAACAATTACTCCATTTACAGCCGAGCTAATGCGGTCCAAAACTCTCCAAACAGTAATCCAGCACAAAAAAAAGAGAGACGACTGGCTATGCGCCGTGCCACATGTGTCCTATCTCACTGCAAAACAAGCGCTGTAGTTCGCTGTACCCTGTCCCATTCAACAACTGACCTCAGAGCAGGCAGGCTCAGTCCCTATGTAGATCACTAGGGGTGTCAAAATCTGGAGGAGGTAAAAGAGGAGGTGGAGGGGGGCTCCGATTGAAGAATACATCCCACTTTTTTCCCAGCTAGAAGACGCACCACCCGACAAATATTCGGTTTTTATCTGTGCTCACACACACACACACACACACACACACACACACACACACATAAGCTTCTTATCTATCTCACCGTATTTCTCGCCCACAAACAAGAAACATAGCCCGCATTTCTCAACTTCAAAGCTCAGCAGCAGCACATCAAAGCGGCCAAGAGAGGGGGCCTGTGGAACAGCTTTCCTACAACTTACCATCCATGTACCCGAGTAGCCTCCCTTTCTGAAAACGTTCAAGTAAAGTAGTCCAACAACAGCCTGTGACTACAACCGCGCTGCTCTCTGCTCTGTCCCGTAATGTCCTGTCACATTGGGACAATGTTAAAGCAGCCGCGAATAAAAGAGAGAGAAGTATTCTCCCTTGGACTTTTCTCCCCAGGTAGTGCTTCAAGAAGCCATGGCAGGCGGTAGAAATCCTCCGGGCTTGTTTCTAAACCAACTGGGCTGAGGGTTTAACTGCGGACTTCAAAGTAGGGAACCGCTGGCCTGGTCCCGGAAGATACATAAAAACACAGCGTCTCATCTTCGCAACAACCGATGACATAAAACCAACTAGAATAAAGATAAAAGGAGGGAAACGGCTGAAAGTGAGCGCATAAATCCCGTTCGACAGCCTATCGTTCGCAAACCCGTCCGTTTAGACGGCCATTAACGTTCATTAAACTTTTCTAGAGAGGGTAAGGATTTACGTGTATGCCAGGACCTTATCAAAGACAGGCAATCTAGAGCCAACTCCCCGAGGCTTTAGAGCGTCAGAAGTAAGTGATCTACCGCGCCAATAGCATTATTCTTACAGTCCGCCTGTTACTACACAAAGTTTCAACAGAAACACAAAGCAAACAAAAGCGATACTTCTGTTGCCTGTGGCCTCTTCGAGTGACAGGAGCGAGTTTAGTGTGTCCACCTAGCTGAGGAGAAAGCCTTATGATAGGGGTTGCAGTCATTGTACAGTTCACTGTGGTATATATGTGTCTGTTGTTGTGCAGCATGATAGGTCTTCATTTTTTCTATATTGGTTCACAATGTATAGGGAGTTTGGGCACATTATCCCTGTGTAATTCCAGTAATATTACCTCAGAATGACCAGATTAAGGGCAGTGACAGTAAAGAATTTGTGGTTAAATATAATTAAAATCAACTATTTAAAACGTATTCTTTAAGTTATGGCCCTGATTTGATAATCCTATAGAGTGTAACTGTCAAATAATTTACATATTAGTCACAGGCTTTTACCCACAAAGATGTCAACCTAACACACTTGCCAGTTCCACATTCAGGGAAAATGGCACAGCATGACATTTTGATTGAAATTGGACAGAGAGCAAAGGCAAGAGCTGTTCTCTAGTCTTTTAATTCACATGACTCTCCTAATGTCATTGTGACAGAATCTTAAAGAGTGGGTTAGACAGTGATCCAATCCCATGGTACTTCAAAGGCTATATTGTCCCTTTGATGTTGGAAATCAACTTTAAAGGAGAATATAATTATATAAGTCAGAGGATTCAAATTCACAAAACTCTCCTGATGGTACAGGACAAGGGAACTAATGAAATCCAACTTCTGAGGTCCCCAAGTGGTGATTAATTCATGTTGCTTTATACATAGATAAATAAAGCCTGCTGTGCATCAGTTACCATGTGGATTTACAGTTGTGTCAGCATCTTTGTCCGTTTGTCCAAATCCTTAGACTCGGCCACATGGTTTAGGGCGACATGTAATCTCATCCAGTCTCATCCAGCCTGTATTGGCCCTGTTGTTAGCTGAGTATTCAGTGACCATAGGACCTTATTATTTTCAATTTACATGCTCAGTATTTTCTCACTGCTTCCTGCAGCCACACTGGATACAAGTTTCCAACTTGTACGTTTTAGTTCTGATACATGCTGCTCAGTAACGTTAACAAACTCTAGCTTTCTTCCACAGTGCGAGCCCTTCTTGTTTTCTTGGTAAAGCAGAGGAGTCCAGTTGATTACATTGACATCCTGCCAACCACTTCCTGCATGCTGTGAGCTTGTCTGATGATCGAGTCCAGCTTATTTCAAATGTAATCTTTGAAGACATTTTCAGTGCAAGGTGTTAAAGCCGTAAACAAAGCCGTATGATAACAGACGGTACAGTCCCTTTCTCTGTCTGTCTCTGTTTGTGTGCACCTAGTGTGTGTGTGTGTGTGTGTGTGTGTGTGTGTGTGTGTGTGTGCGTGACAGTGTGAATATGAAGTGGTCATTCATAGCCACTGTTTATACTGGAGGGCTCTGTAAAACAAACATTGCTGCCACAAATCCAAACAATCCAGCACCCAAAATGCACAAAAAGCCTCCAAGCCTTCGCAATGGGAAGTGCCCGCTGTCTGCGAGATGGAACCCGAAATCACAAAATGGGTCAGCAGCGTTGGCACTGTGACGTTCAAGGGGCATTTGACTGATCAGTGCGGCCCAAATTAAAGCAATGAATATGTAGCCATACTGTTATCTGCACACTAACTTCTTTAAAGCCCGCTTTGAAAGGAGAATTGAGATATAGAGGGGTTATAAAATGTAATTTTTGAAGTGCAGGACAATCTTAAAAGTGGGATATTCACATTCGGGATAAGATGTTATCTTCACTCAAATTAAATTAGGCCGCACATATCACTGAAAACGGAAAAAAAAAAAGTCCACAGACAGTTTAATTTTTGCTGACAGGCAGGAAGCTTCGCTCATGCTTTGCTCAGTCTGCTTTTAATAACATGTAAAGTTCGGGCTAGTCAACTATTCAGGATGTGTTTGTTTTAATGCAGTGATCACCAAAGATGCAGCCAAAATACAAGTTGCTGACTTTTTAAAATTCATTCTGGAAGTGTCATGAGACGCTCAACCCATGAGACCACACCTGTTGACCCTCGAATGCCCACTCTTGTGTTTAGCAGTGACAAAAGAGAGAGGGTGCTGTAAAGTAGCCATAAGAAGCTTTTTTTGATGTTGACCCTGCCCTGACCCCTTTGTTGGGGCCCTAACCATTTCACAGGAAGATCCAAACGCTTTAAAAGCACAATACAGGACGAGAGTGCCGCCACTGACTTGCTATGAAGCCCCAATAAAACGGGGTGACCTGGAGGCTAATTGAGAGCTTGTGGTTGGGAAGAAATTAAAGGCATCTGGTGCATCACCAAAGATTGGAAATGAAGCTCCTCTTTAATTAGAGCCTGCATTAAAGGAAAGTATGCATTTCACTGCTGTCAGTATAGGTGTCGCATCCGGAAACGTGGAAACAAACAGAGGTCTTTAATTATAGTAGTGTGTAGGAATGATTTGTTAGGAAAAAAAAACTTCTTTCTTTCTGTTAGTATTGTACTGCAGAAGTCTTTGATGGTGTATCATTAGTTGCATCAGTCAAACAGTAGGCCTGTGTTCTCCCCTTTTGTCGCTTTTTCATAAGAACTTTTGGATTTGCATCATATCGCAGCTCACAGTATATGTTCCCACAATGTGAACAATAAATTCTGTACAGCCCGTTTTATCGCCCTTCCCTCCGCTCAAATCCTACACTTGTGCTAAAATAGCACAGAAAAACAGAGGAGAGGGTGGCTAATTGCAAATAACCCAATATTTTGGAGTTCAAAGGCTGTGGTGGGTTTGAGTGATAATTTTGGCTGAAGCATCACCATAAACACTAATAAAATTAAGTGCGTCGGAGGGAGGAGGGGGCGTGGCCAGGCGTCCCTTTGAACAGACCCTGTGATCAGTTCCCCCTCTCAAT